TGATGAACTAACTGAGAATGAAAAAGCAGAAGTCAAGACATTACTAGAGAATTTTTCAGATGTTTTATCAGATGTACCTGGTTTGACGAATCTCGGAGTTCATCATATCAAGTTGACTAGTGACCAGCCTATTCGCACCAAGCCTTATCCTCTGCCGTTTACTTCAAAAGACGTTGTTTGTGACGAGGTAAGAAAGATGGTGGAAGCCGAAGTGATCGAGCCTTCGACGAGTCCATACAGTTCCCCGATAGTCATCGTGAAAAAGAAGGACGGTTCGAACAGGTTTTGTATCGATTTTCGTGCAATTAATAAAGTAACTGTTTTCGATGCAGAAACCATTCCAAGTGCTGATGATATTTATGTACAATTATCTGGATGTAAATATGTGTCCAAATTTGATCTATCTAAGGGATACTGGCAGTTACCTTTGGATGATGCAGCGAAGGAGATCACCGCTTTCCAAACGCCACTTGGTTTGTTTCAATTCAGGGTGATGCCCTTTGGCTTGATAAACGCTTCCGCAAGTTTCAGTCGCCTGATGCGTAAGCTCTTAGACGGAATGCAGTGTGTGGATAACTTTATAGACGATGTGATTGTGTACACTCGAACATTTCAGGAACATGTTAATGTAATTCGGGAACTTCTGCTAAGACTTCGTGCTGCGAATTTGACTGTGAAACCAAGTAAGTGTTTTATTGGTTACCGGAGTCTTGAGTGTCTCGGACATATTGCAGGAAATGAAGAACTTAGACCTCTTCCTGACAAAGTTTCCGCCATTCACAACTTTACCCAACCTTCAACGAAGAAGCAAGTGCGATCATTTTTAGGTCTGGTAGGATTTTATCGCAAATTCATTCCGAATTTTTCAGCTATTGCTTCGCCTTTATCAGATCTTACCAAGAAAGGCCAGCCGAACAAAGTGATTTGGAAAGGACCGCAGGAAAATGCGTTCATCACTCTCAAGACAGCTTTAACGGTAACACCAGTTCTCAAACTACCTGATTTAAATGAAAGCTTTGTTTTACAGACAGATGCGTCAGATCGTGGTGTTGGGGCAGTTTTGATGCAGTACGAAGATGGTGTGAAGAAACCTGTCGCATACGCTAGCAAGAAACTTTCCAAATGTCAGGTAAATTACTCTACAATCGAGAAAGAGTGCTATGCGATAATCTGGGCAGTTCAAAAGTTCCGCAGGTATTTGTATGGTAAGGAATTCCTACTAGAGACAGATCATCAACCACTAGTATATCTTACCAAAGCCAAGGTGTCTAATGCACGTCTGATGCGCTGGGCATTACTTCTGCAACCCTACAGGTTTCGCATTATTTCCATCAAGGGTTCTGAAAATGTAGGAGCTGATTGTCTTAGCAGAATTTAGATATGTATATAATTATGTATAGTCGATTTTATGCTATTATTGATTGTGGTTTTTTCAAAAGTTCGTTGAACTTTCTTATGTTGGGGAGATATTGTCACAATCAATATTTAATTTTAATTGCATTTACATTATGTTAATGGTTTTTATTTTATTTACCCTTTTACTGGACCTCTATACTTTTGTTACCTTATTGAACCTCAGTTAAGTTTTGCAGGTATTGGTCAGTTACGACCTATTGTATTTTGGGGTATTTAAATCGCTGCATAGCTGACCAGGTAACCAGGGTCCACGTTTTCATAGCTTTTAAATGGTTGACATACAGTCCAAGATGAGTGGCTAAATTTTTTCTTTCAACGGTAACCATTTCTCCAAAGGGGTAAGTTTGTTTTTTATTTCATATGTAAGTTTTTGAGTAATGCATTTAAAACGTAGAACTATTTAAGAACTTGAGTTAATTAATGTTTTTGTTACTATTTACGTATACAGGTTTTGCTGGGTAGAGTTACTCATGCGTTTATTGTTCTATTTTTGTGCAATGTACTGAGTTATATACGCACGTAGGCTATTTTGTTTTGCCGCTTATAAAGTCGGTGTTGTGGGTTTAATAGTTAAAACCACTTTTGTTAAGATGTTGTGTATTCTTAACGTTTTTCTTATTATAATAGTGTTCGGTTAAAATTACCGGGACTGATTGTATGGTGTGCCATAAGTGCAATTGTAGTCAATGGTGACTTGAGTTTTCCTTTTGTATACGTGGCTTGTGACTTAAAAAAATGTTATTTAATTCAAAGGTTCCTGATGTTATCCAATGTTAATCTATCCATGTGTGTGTTGGCAATGAACTTACCAGACCGGGATACCCACTGGGAGCCAGTTGGCGGGAGTCCGTCGTGAAACGGGTCGTGTCTGGATAGACGTGGTTTAGAGTCAACGATATTGAGGATTAATAGAGACTTTAATTTCTGTGTATTGTAAATAATAGCTGTAAAAATATGTTGTAAATATTGTTTTTATTGATTTTATTTATAGATAAAAAAAAATTGTAAATAGAAAAAAAAATCTTGTTATATCTGACTGGACAGAGCACGACGGCTGTCGTGACAGAAGGTCCATTGGTCATATGCTTATCGTGAACGTTTAATGCTCGGTGTGATACATATGTATTTATATATACATGTATTATAGAAAAATTAAAGTGACTTCTTGGTTAGTTACTGAGGTACGAAGGAGAGTGTAAAGATTCTGAACCTTTTTGAATGTATTTTTTTTCTAATGGAAGCAACTCTAATTACTTTTTTATTTAGTTCCATTTTTTCAATTCGGAATAAAGGAGAAATCCAGTAAGGATTTCATCGGGAAAGGAGAGGGTGTTACATTGGTGGACATAACAATAAAAGATCCGAACACGAAAACCTACTTTATGGTTGGGGAGAGGGCGATTTTGGTGGACTAGCTACGTATACCTTCTTCCATATTTTCATTTTCCTATCAACTTATGACTGTCATTCAACAAAAGCTAACCAATTAATCATTAAAAATCTTAATTCAATTTTAAGACATGTTTCAACTCTTAGACTTTATATATACACACATGGTTTTGTAAATATATAGTGATATATAATATACTAATATTCATTAAAATGTTTTAATAGGAAAATAAAATAATTAAAACGCATTCAATTTCAACGCTTAATGTCGCTTCATTCATTTACAATTTTCAATTCAACCGTCTAAGCTTTTCCATTGAAAGATTCCATTAAAAAAGTTTTTTTGTAATAAAAAGAAAACAAATCATATTTCTGGAAGTGCAATGGGGTTTTTTTTCATAGAAGTCAAAGCATATCGCTGAAAATCAATTTAATATTCTTAATAATTCTAGTGATTTAAAAAAAAAATTACCAGGTCTTGATCCCACATGACCTACTGGTATTTCGACTTTAATGGATCTGTCTATGGGGATAATGCCAAATTTTAAATAAACTTTAACCTTCATAGATTCTGTGTCAGATTCTAAATTTTAGGTTCTGGTATATGATGAGTGTGAAAATAGATCAAATAAGAGAATCTCCTTACTATAGTTTTATAAGAGAGACAGAGAGAGAGAGAGAGAGAGAGCGTTTAATGCGAGAACAATCAACCACTTTATGGCAGAAAAGTTTTAATAAAAAAAATGTCAGTAATGCCATCTTCATCACATTTTGATTCATTTATTTTACTAGATGACGAATTGATTTAAAATTGTTTTAAAACATACTTAGTGGGAAATGGGCACGTTTATATTAATTGGATCTAGCCATAAGAATTCATTTTTGAATGGATCAGGTTTCTTTTCTTAGTTGTGCATTTAAATGGCGGAAACATAAATGTAAAATCAATAGTGTGTTTTTCAAATGGAGTCTGAAGCGACTCTATTTAAATTCTAGGAATCCCTTGTTGGTCGGTCAAATCTGCGGTGACCCCTATATATTGATCTGGTAACTGAGCATTCCCTAATCAAATTTAGTATAGAAACAAAGGCCTAACAATTGGATGAAGAAGTAAGCCAAAATAAAAACAACGAAAGTATCTGTCGAGACTGTAGCTCTACTTGTTTATACATAAAACAAAGGAAGAGAAAAGTTGCATTTTGAAAGTATTTCACAGAAATCTCTATTTTTAGTAACCACGGCAACACCTTTTAATGAAATCAAAAACTGATACACCGAAGTAAATATTTTAGTGTAGTCTAGTTGTGTGCCAAGTTATATTGAAATCAGACCAAAACTGTAAGAGGAGTAGCATTTAAAAAAAGTTTACAGATAGACGGACGGACGATGGACACATCACTAACGCATAAGCTCTTCCGGCCTCTGGCCAGTAGAGCTAAAAATCACTTAGTATTTTCTAACCAGTCGCGACAAAATGCAAATGAAGTATCGCACAAACATCAGCAATGATAGCACATTTCATCAAATTCTATGATTATTTGTTATTTATTTCTTTTTAACATCTTTTGCATACTAAATGCTTCTCTTGTGATTATGTATGCCAATGTGTTTTTCTAAAATGTTTAAATCGCAATAGTTTAAAGAAAAAACAAACAAATTTTACTTTCATGCAACTCACAAAAGGGATCCGAAAAAAAAGTAGCCATTGCAAAAATGTGTTGCAAACATATAATAGCATTCACTCAAAACAAGGATATCTCAATATTTGTCAAAAAGTGTAATTTATAAAAATCAAATGATGTTTCGTGGATAAGTTGGGTAGAAAACTTAGATTCAATCACTTTCACAACAGAATATAGTTGAAAAAAATTAAGAACATTTGAAATAAAATAAAAATTGAAAAAGCGAAAATCCCATATTAACTTTGTATATGAAAAAGATATCGAATTTCGAAAAGTTTTCCATCTAAAAGAATCCTCAAATAAAAGTACAATAATTCTATAAAGGTTTAAGAGGTTTCCTTTTCTTAAAATTACTTTTACCCATATTTTTCCTGTTGAAATTTTTTTTACCCATAATGCATTAAACTACCCAAAGCAATATAGCAAGTGATCCAAATCAAGTAGATTTACGATTAGCACTTTGTATACAATTATACATATACGCATATAAGATAATATATCTTAAGAACCTACGTGAAAAACAGCTGGAATCAATGAGTGGGATGTATCCTGACCCACAGACACATTTATTGTTCTGACAGACCGAACCAACTGTCCCTGAACACTGCACATTTCGCTGACAGCTTTCGTTTAGTTGCAAATTTCCTGATAAACACAATGACATTTTTTGTCTATATATTCAAATGTTTCTGGCCTGTAAACGGTTCAAGTATGACTGAAAGTGATTGAAATATTTTAACATTTACCCTTAAAACAATTGCTTCCGAATCTTATATACCCATCTCTGCATTTACAAACGCCGATTTCTTCTCTATACGATCGCGAACATGACTTGGATGGATCTTCACAATTCTTAGTTGATGTGCACATATCTTTTATGATGTTTTCTGAGGAAAGAAAATGTGTCAAATAAATAAAAAGGAACAAAAGAAACAAAATTTAAATGAATAATTTTAAATTATTTTAAATCGAAACAATGAAAATACACGGAAACACCAAAAGATATTGACGTTTCCCGTATGCAAGGAAACTATAATTTACAATCGTGAACTATAATTAAGAGTTATTCATCATAGCTACACAAATCGTGAAACTATATTTATCAGATTGTTAACTATAGTTAAATGTTGTTAACCACAGTTTACAAATCGTGAAACTGTACTGATCAGATAATCTATAGCTATGTTTTGCAATCGCAAATAATTGCTTTCAGTATTAGGTATAGTTTACGGTTCTGAACCATATAAATTATCGCAATATCTATGGTTTGCAGAGGTAAAATATAAATTAACGTTGTTAATTTTAGTTTACAGTCCGTGAACTACAGTTTCTAATCGATAAACCTAGATTATCGACCATGAAACTCTGTTTAGCTCATTTTTTTTAATTTGGCGTGACATACATATGCAATAATTGCATTGTGGGTAATATTTAATTTCTCATATGTCTAAAAAGTGATTTGCGATTGCAAAACATAGCTATAGATTATCTGATCAGTACAGTTTCACGATTTGTAAACTGTGGTTAACAACATTTAACTATAGTTAACAATCTGATAAATATAGTTTCACGATTTGTGTAGCTATGACGAATAACTCTTAATTATAGTTCACGATTGTAAATTATAGTTCTATAATCTTGTGATGTATGTAAATTATAGAACATACATCACAAGATTTTGCATAAACATCACAAGATTGTGAACATACTTCGAAAGATTATAGAGCATACTTCACTAAATTTTGAATAAACATCACAAGATTTTGAATAAACATCATAAGATTATCGAATAAAGCATCGCTTTACCTGCCATACAGGCAGTGAATGTTTTGTTATTTTTCCCCGACTTTGTGATTATAATTTTCTATAGGCTCAACAGTTGTTCAACAAAAGAAGATTTTCTCTTCTAATTAGCAAAGATAATATCATAACATGCAAAGTATATGTAATACAAATTAACCAATGAATTCCCACTCTTTATTGCTTCATCAGTATACTTATTGTAAATGTAAAATAATAATTAAACATACACATTGTATACAAAGTGCTAATCGAAATTCTGCTTGATTTGCCATGGATTACTAGCTAGATTTTATCGTGTCATTGGAAATTTCAGTCTGCACATTTAGACGAAAAATTGCATTTATATACGTTTTCTTACTAATAATAAAACTGCGTCAACTAATATGAGACCCTCTTTGATAAATTTAAGGATAACCATATTTTTGTGTCATCTGCCCTTCTATAAACATCGAAACCATGTGTTTTTCCACACATTTGATGGTCATTTTTCGACAAATCACTCACTTGCATAGACTGTTGACTTTTATTGAAATAAAACTTTTATTGTTGTTTGATATGAATCTTTATCAAACGAAAGCTATCAAATTTCTCCACAAGATCTTCTTTATATCTTGACAATTACATCAAATATGCATCTACCTGAAAGCTATACTTTTTTTGAGTATACATACATGTACATGTATATATAGCATTTATACCAGTTAGTAAAATGATTATACGATTCATGGTACTTTGTGTTCACAACAGTCTTGTACAATATTTTCTTTCCCAGACACCTCTTACATATCACCATTGACCCAGTCCATAGAAGGTCCATTGGCCGTATGCTGATCTTGAGCGTTTAATGCTCAGTGTGATACATATGTATTCATCTATGCTCTAGCTGAAATCCCGCGCAAGCGCGAGGGAATTTCATTTTTTTTTTACTAATAACACAACTATTTTCTAAAAACTATCTGAGATTTATTACACAGGAATAGGCTTATATAGCATGACGAAATACTTCAAAGTCCCACAATTAGTTTAGGAGGAGAAATAAATTATCATTAGAAATACACTCCTTTATATTTTGTTGATTTTCTTTACTTCTACAAATATCATTTTCATTAAAGGCCTTTTCTTCTTACAATGTACATGTTATAAAGCAACTTTATTCCGTTGTACATACACGGATATAGAGGGTGTCCGGATCGACCCCTCCCCCGTGGAATTTGCAGAGATATTTCATATATATACTAAACAATTTAAAGTGATCTTGTATACCCCTCCCAGAAAATAGCAACCCTTCCTCGAAAACACGGATCTATGTGGTATTGGTATGAAAAGTCATTAGAATCATTGAAAGTCATCCAATGTTTTTTTTTTTTTTTTTTTTTGCTTGTTAAGAAATTTCTGGAATTGAATTTTTTACTGGGGTGGAACACCCTCCCCCCCCCCCCCCTTGGTAAAAGAAAAATATGGATCCGCGCTCAAATTGGTTGTACTATGTTACACATTATGTACTACAGGTGCTTATTGGCATTTTCTCTTCATCATATGTTAGAAATTTTATTTTAATATATTTTGAACCAATCATTGCTGATTATACTTCAGATGATCTGTTTCCATTTACATAATGGATAAGAGAATGAATGTAACAATTTAACTATAAATTTGTCAGCATTCTAAAATATTTTTTAAAAAAGCTTTGATTTCATCCCGTATGTACACACGGGCATAAAAGTATAAATAAGTGTTTTAAAAATACCGTATGTAGAAAACCCACTGAAATGTACTCATCAAAGAAATATTTGAAAATCAAAATTGTACTATTTTATATGTCTAAACAAATAAACATGGCCATTCATCAATTTTTTTTAAACATTAGCACAACTTTACTAAGATATATTCACAAACTCATTGTATTACCAATTTCATAAATAATTTACTCGATTTTCTTTTTAAAATCGGGTTCGATGCCACCTGACTTTCTAGAACTTTCAACAAATAGCGAGATGGGACATAAACGGAAGGGATTTTGACATTTTGTTTTTTAATCAATGATGAGAGCTAATTTCTTTTATATCACTTAAATCAAGTTTTGATTCAATAATTCATTAGTGACGTTTTATGAAATAGATAAGCGCTTGCTTGTCGTAAGTTTTTTTTTTAAATGCCAAGTGCTATTTCGAGGCTTTTAACTGAAAATGAAGGTAGACTTTTAATTAAATTTACGATTATTATTATGCAATTGAAATCTGAATGTAGTTTACGGACATCATCTTATACCTAGTGTATTCCTACAAGCTTAAGTAAGAACTTTTGTGCAGCCGTTTCGGAGTTCATTTGCAAAATTTGTTAATTTATAAAGTAGATATCGTGGTGAACGGTTGTACAAAGAGTAAAAAAGTCGTACGTTTTGATATTATTGATTTTGGTCAGATTTGTAATTTCCAATTTTCTAAAATGTCCTCTTATCCTTCGCCAAATGCTTGGCACTTTTAGGTACGTGTCGTGTAATCAATCTAATTCTTGTTTCTATTCTGCATTTCAACATTTATCTGATACATTTAATCCACTCTGACAGTGTCTATATCTTCTTTTTTATATTTTGTCTGGAGTAATCTTTGACAGAGTTCATTAATTTTTGAAATTTTATAATGCCAACACAAAAACCTACTTTATTTGGGGGAACTTTGTGGACCAACAATAAGTCCTCATATTTTACATATTTTCATTTTCCTATCAATTTATGATGTGTCCATTGTAACAAAAGTTATATGCCAAAGTAATGAATAGCAAGCCAAATTTAAAATCTATAATCCAATTATAAAGACCTGGGTTTCAACAGTTTAGATTTTATATACACACATGGTTTTGTAAATATATAGTGAATTATAATATACTAAAATTTTTAAATGTTTTTGGAAAATGAAATAAACTTTTCACGCATTTTCACATTTTTATCTTCTTCATTCATTTACAATTTTCAATTCAGCCAAACTTGCCACAAGAGATCCTTAGGTGAAAAGTTTTCAAGTTTGTAATAACAAGAAGGGCCACGCCCTCTTCCAAGGGGAGATGATTTTTTTTATGAAAAATTAATGGCACTTTTAAAAAAAATAAACCACTTAACCCAGAAAGTTTTTGAATTTGTCCTTTTATTGTAGATTCAAGTTTCTTCAAATGTGACCCCTGGGAGGGGGTGGGGCCACAATGGTTATTTTTATAAGCTTTACATAGGAATATATAGTGAATAAAAAAAAAAAATCTTCTCAAGAACCACTGGGCCAGGAGAGATGAAACTCATGTGAAATCATCCTAAGGTAGAATAATGCCAAATTTTAAATAAACTTTAACCTTCATAGATTCTGTTTCAGAATCTAAATTTTAGGTTCTGGTATCTGATGAGTGTGAAAATAGGTAAAATATGAGAATCTCCTTGCTATAGTTTTATAAGAGAGAGAGAGAGAGAGAGAGAGAGAGAGAGAGAGAGAGAGAGAGAGAGAGAGAGAGAGAGAGAGTTACCTTAGACCCACCCACCCTGTGACAGAAAAGTTTTATTTTAAAAAATAATGTTGTCAGTAACCCCCCCCATCACATTTTGACGCAAATTTGTGTTAAATCGGTATGAAAATTAAAGAGTTTTAAAGAATTAGTGGAAAATCATGTTTATATAAATTGGCCCCCACGAAATAGGATTTTTGAGTTTGGACTTGTTAAGTTTTTTTTTTTTTTGCGTGTCAAATTTCTGGGTTGTAAAATTAGTCTTTTTTTTTGGAGTCTGAACCCCCCCCCCCCATTCTGGAAAAAATTTCTAGGCATCCCTTGTTGATGGGGATTCTGCGGTGATCAAATTTTTACATAGGACTAGATAGGGAAATCTTTTAAAATCGTCTTCTCAATTATTTCAAAGCCATGATTAGTGATATTTATATGGAATCATTCTCATGTAGTGTAGACTCTAGTTTGTTCAAATCATAACCCCAAGAGATAGGATGGGGTCACAATGGGGGATCCAAGTTTAAATTTGCATTAAAATATATTTAGGAAAGAAATCTTCTTTCAAGAATAGTAAAGCCATGATTAGTGATACTAATTTTTATATGGAAGCATTTTCGGGTAGTGTAAATTAAATTTGTAAAAATCATAATATTTTAGGGTAGGGTGTGTGCCACAATTATGGATTCAAAGTTTTACATAGAAAAATAAAGGGAAAATAGCAAGAAAGAAAAAGTTATGTTTAGTCATATTGACATGTATGCATCCTCATGTATTGAAGATATAAATTTATTCAAATCATGGCCCTTTTGGGGTAGGGAGGGAAACAATGGGGAATCAAATTCAAATTATTAAAGTTATATATATATATGAAGAAAACGTTTTTAAAAAATCTTTTTATAAGAACAGCAAAGTCACACTGTATTAATATGAAGGCATTCTCAAGTAGTATTAAAATTCAAGCCGCCCCCCCCCCCCCCCTTCAGTAAACTTTTCATTTCTGATAGATCTGATTTGTGCTTTTTCCTAGCCGATTTGCTCAGGTGAGCAATGTGGCCCCTGGGCCTCTTCATCATAAACCTCTTCGAGGTTTATAAAGCGTAAACTGCCCCAAACCAGGTTATACATTATAATTTGGGTTGCTATTCAGTTCATTCCATGAATAATAAAAAAGTTCGAAGCAATCGTCAATGCATATTTTTGTAAGAGTTACGGTTTGAACTTCAACTTGACATAGATCTATTTGTTTTTAAAATGAACAAAAGGGTTGTTTGAGCGGTATTACAGTACCCGTGAAGTTTTTTTTCTTTGAGTGGTTTTGATACTACAGTGTACATGTATATTTCAGTGAGGAGGAAAGAGAGAGGTTTGGTTTTATAAAACATTTACTGGAACTCGCCCTGTTGTCCGTAAGAATTTTTTTATGTTGTGATTTTAGATGATGTTTCGTTATTTTTTCATTCACATGCATTGTGAACTAACATGAATCTTCTTAATGAAATACCCAGTATATAACAAACAGTATTCAATCTCAAAAGCCAATTAAACAATACAAAATTGGAGCAGAGCAAACACGGACCTCCCAAAAATCAGAGGTGGGATCAGATGCCATGAAGGAGTGAACATCCTCTGCCAACCGGTCACACCCGCCGTGTGCTCCTTGTCATGATCGGGAAATAACAGGAAAATCACTTTCACAACAGAATATAGTTGAAAAAAATTAAGAACATTTGAAATAAAATAAAAACCGAAAAAGCGAAAATCCCATATTAACTTAGTAAATGAAAAAGATATCGAATTTCGAACAGTTTTCCATTTAAAAGAATACTCAAATAAAATTACAATGATTCTATAAAGGTTTAAGAGATTCCTATTTCTTAAAATTACTATTAACCCTATATTTTTCCAGTTAAAATTTCTTTTTGACCCATTATGCATTTAACTACCCAAAGCAATATAGCAAGTGATCCAAATCAAGTAGATTTTCGATTAGCACTTTGTATACAGTGATACATTTACGCATATAAGATAATATATCTTAATGAACCTACGTGAAAAACAGCTGGAATCATTGAGTGGGATGTATCCTGACCCACAGACACATTTATTGTTCTGACAGACCGAACCAACTGTCCCTGAACACTGCACATTTCGCTGACAGCTTTCGTTTAGTTGTAAATTTCCTGATAAACACAATGAAATTTTTTTTATCTATATATTCAAATGTTTCTGGCCTGTAAACGATCCAAGTATGACTGAAAGTGATTGAAATATTTTAAAGTAGAATCGTGCTATATCATTTACCCTTAAAACAATTGCTTCCGAATCTTATATATCCATCTCTGCATTTACAAACGCCGATTTCTTCTCTATACGATCGCGAACATGACTTGGATGGATCTTCACAATTCTTAGTTGATGTGCACATATCTTTTATGATGTTTTCTGAGGAAAGAAAACGTTTCATATAAATAAAAAGGAAACAAAGGAAACAAAATTTCAATAAATAATTTTATATTATTTCCAAAAAATTCATAATTATTCATGGAATCCCGAATTAAGCATGGTTTTACGATAAATCTTGGTTCATATGTAAAAAAAAGTTCAAATCATCGGGTAAGGTTTCGTGCGAATGTATGGTTTAATTATTTTACTGATGGGAGAGTCGGATTCTATGAGCATTTTTAGGCAAAATAGATGTTTTTCAACTACATTATTTACTCAAAGAAATTATTAAACTCCGGGGTATTGTTGTTCCCTTAGCTTTTTTATTAAGGAAAATTTTGCTATTAATAGAAGTCATGTGATGCCCTGGTGGTGGTGCACGTCGTTGTGTTAGACACTCTTTTATCTGTATACAATAGATAATCATAGTTTACGTTTATCGGCGGTTTTGGTAAATTATCAAACTTAATATTCTTTAAAAAGTCTACATTTCCCAAAAATGACTTACATGCTTCCTTGACATATCCGCGAACCTCGTTTCTTTTGATCAGTAAAGTGAAATGAGGTACAATACATATTTTACAATGATTTTTATACACGCACTTTCTAAAGAAAGTTCACGTATTTTGTTGTTACTCATGTCCGTCTGTCATTTTTAAAAGTAGCACAATCATCTTTAGGGAGATGGCTGGTGGTGTCTTGTAGATTTGCAGTAAGGTTTGCGAATTTTGATTTTGCCCCGGAGGATCAATTGAGGGTCGAAAAAAGGGCGTTTTTATGCGAAAAGCCCCGTCTTCCATGAACTCCTCCTACATTTTACCCAGTAGCCTTATCATCTTTAGGGAGATGGTTGGTGGTGTCATGTAGATGTGCAGTAAGGTTTTCGAATTTTTATTTTGCCCTGGGGAGTCAAATGGGGGTCGAAAAATGATGTTTTTATACAAAAAACCCCGTCTTCCCTGAATTCCTCCTACATTTTACACAGTGGCTTAATCATCTTTAAGAAGAGTTAAATACTTGAAAATTAGGTAAAACATCGCAGCTAGGATAAGGCTGTCCGTAAAATATCAAACTGTGCAGACTGTAGTAACTTCTTTGAACTATCTAGATATGACGTCATAAAAGAATATGACGTCAAGTCACTGCATACTTGAGATAACACGAGGGGGGAAGTGTCATAATTTGTACATTGCATGTAGACTTATTTTGGGGCATTGTTGTTTATTTAAAGTGTTAGGAATGTTTTAAGCTCCAATGAGCTGTTATGAAGTTGAACATTTGAAATTTAAATATTCCTATTCCTTTTGCTCGTCCAATATGCACATATTCAAATAAAAAAGAAAAATCATACGTGAAACGTTCCCCTTACACGTCTGTGGATAGAGTTAGAATTTTACAATTGTGTTTATATTGGACTGGCACAAGTGATAAACAAGCATAGATTGAAGATATTCTATGTGAATCTACAAAAGAAGTATGTCGTCTAACTGAATTTTGCTGGGGGATTGTGTGTAGTTCATCCATTTTTGTATAAATCCCGATAAAGAGTGGAAAATACCCCCTCTTATGTTGGTAAGTTGAATTTCTCGTAAAATATTTTCTTAAGAAGTAAGAATTAGACCTGCCCCCGGCATTTTCGATGTACCAGAGATCGCGATGAATTGGTCTTTGTAACAAACTTTGCACAATATTTTTGTTTTGCACTTGTGCCGAAGCGATTTTTGTGCAACATTTAGGAATATCATTAATCTCTGTTAAGTGATCAACACAGTCATGTGACGTAACAAAAATGCTTTATTTTAATACCTGATTAAACTTTTATGTCAAGTTGACTTCAATTTTAAACAAGGATTACATATCAAAAATAAAATCTAGCTTAAGATAAAATGTATATTGTTAAGGCATTTTAAGCCTTCACACAGCCTTATCATAACTGCGATGAACAATGAGGGGTAAAAAGTCATAGCATGCTGGGAAACATCTTGAATTCTTACGAGTAATGTACATATACATGTCAAATGTGAAAGTCATATCTGTTCTCAAGTTAGAAGCAAATGCAACGTTTTTGAAAATGGGGTTAAGCTTCAAGGTCAAGGTCACAGAGTCAAAAGTCATGATTTATTTGGAATAGTCTTATCACAGGTAATAATACACATGCATGTATTAAATGAATGCCCTAACTTTTCTCTTTCAAAATGATGAACGTAAAACAGTGTAATTTTTTGGAAGTAGGTTAAACTTCAAGGTAAAAACAACCAGATGGACAGACTGACATTCAAATGTAAACTTACATATTTTTATGTGAATCGGTTAAAATTGGTCTAGTGGTTATAGAGAAAAAATTAAAAATATAAAAGGTCTGTTTCCAGACAAACAGATGGACGACAGATGTAATGTGATCAGGAAATCAGAAAAGCTCAAATGAGCTAAAAAGTATGATTCAAAAGTATTTTGAAAGGGTTACTATAATGGTTACTATGTTTGAAAAGCTTTTTATCCCGTGCAATGTTTTGAGAAGCTGAAAATGTATGACATGTATCCACTGTTGATAAATCTTAACATTTTAGAAAACAGTATGATTGAAAATAGTTAATCAAGATATTCTGAGTATCAAAATAAAGCTAGAAAACTTTTATAGCTAATGCAACCACAAAACCTACTCAAATTTATGATGCACAACCTTTTCAACTCTTGTAATAATTATTTTTGAAACATTAATATCATCATTTCTGATTCAAGGGAGGGATGTGAAAACATCTTCGTATTTTTCTTGTAAAAATGGATAAAAATCTAAGGTCAATAGATCAAAACGTCAAAATCGGTGGTAGCCAAATAAAAGGTCTTGTCTTGTTAACTATGGAATGTGGAAGCCATGTTTATAGCCCATCCCACTTAAAACTTATGGGCAAGGTTTAAGTTTCTGCTGACAAACAGACATTATATAAACACAAGAAACAAAATATGTACAAAGTCAAATTGAAAAAAAAATTCTACTATTTTGGAGTCACAAAATCATTTGTAACTTCAGGGACAGGGAATGGCTAGGGAGATTGGACCCCTGCCCCCTTGGAATCTGCTTTGTTATGTAATTAAATAAGACTATATACTGAAGCAAATAAAAATGACTTGGACATCCTCCCCCTTAATAAAAACATTGACCCCACGATCATTGTTTTTCTTTTGTATATTTGTTTTCAGTTTTTTTTTTCCTTGCTTGTCAGGAAATTCTGGGCTGGATTTTTTTTTTGTCTGAGGTGTGAACCCTCCTCCCGAAAAAATAAATTCTGGATCTTCAATAACTGAATGTAACATCGACAACGGGAGATAATTTCACAATGTGAAAATTCGTCTAATGTGGGGGATTGTATGGATACAGATGATTCAGCTAGTCGTCAAGGGGGTGTGTCCCCATACCAAACCAGGTTTTTAAGAAATAATTTGCGTTCCAGTTCCTTTTTGGTAATCAACTAATGAGAGACTAAAATAAAATCATAATTAAATTATTTTGTTTTCGTTTGTTACATTGATTTCTAATTTTTATCAGAAACTTGGTAAATTTTGTAACAGTTATGAGATATTGAAACTCATGTCTAGTTTTTGCAAACTCGCAAGACAAAATTAAATTGAAAAATTATACACATAAATTGAATTATTTTTGCTCTTTTTACGGGTCCGAAAGGAGTCCCAACGTTGGAGTTACATATTTTCAATATTTGATTTGGTTCCTCTGCTATTGACGCTTTTAAACACAATTGAAGAGAAGAAATTCAATATTTGTGAAATATTTTATATTTATCATTTGTAAAACTTTTCTTACTTTTATGAATTCTTTATGTTTGTTAAATGTGTATGCAAATTTTCACCAAAATATGTTTACTAAAATGAAATATATACACAATAATTCAATAATTTCAGAACAGACCTCGTATATATATAAACACTGAAACTGATCATGAGTATAATAAAAAACAAAAAAAAATATTTGTTTTAAATTCTGAATTTAAACTAGAACTTAAAGGGTCATTATGTAATTGTCTATGCTTTTAAGAAAAGCATGCATGGTTAGTCTGAAAGATTCATAAAAAGATATGATACAGAATGACAATTTCATAATGAATCTTTTTTTGTATTTATGTGCCACTATACATGTAGATATGGTGAAACAAAAGCAAAAAATAGTTTACAACATATTTTAAAACCTTCGTGCGTCATGATAACTTACCGTTCTCAAAGTCCGTTTTGCAGATGATTACTAAAGATCTCTCTTGATTTGAGTTATCACACCTTATGTTGATCGTCCTCAGATTTTTTATTAAACCATCAAATCGAAGAATTAAGGATTTAAGTCGATACTTAGGTTGATACCCGTATCGATAACTCCAAGTTGCTTCCTCTAAGTCATTTATTTTTCCTTGACATGTCTGTGAACAGGTAGGTGTTTCTGAGAAAAAAAATAAATAGGGACGATTTTTTAGAAATCGGGAACCATACATACCATCAATTCCAAATTTTACAATGACAATTATATCAAGAGTGGACTAGAATTATAACTCCTTCTGTATTTTTTTTCACATAAACTATTCTTGAAAAGGGACATACTATTTATTCTCATTATTTCAAAATTGAATTGAATATTAGATGGAAAAAATCTGGAGTTTAGATTGGCATATAGCTAACTTTATGTCATGAAAGATCATAAAAAAACTGTTTATTTCAAAGGCGAACAATTGTGATTATTGGACAATGAAATAAATTGTCGAATACGTACTTCAGTCTTTAATGAAAATACAAAATTGATATCTGAATAAGATAATCATTTGCATTTTGAAAATACAATACATGGAATATCAGCATATTTAATACACCAGTATTTTATGATCTTCTAGTTATTTTGAATTGGCCTATTTTGAAAAAGAATTTCAGAACTTGTAGTAGGTCTCAAGTAGGAGTAGGCATGGGATGTTCGGATATCAAACAGGTATCAAGCTTTAAATTAAAACAACAGTTAGCTACAGGAGAGCAAACATTGGCCTCTACACACATCAGAAGTTTGATCAGGTGCCTGCAGCCATATCCTCTCAAGAGTTTCATTTTCTGATATTTAATGACGTCACTGTAAAATTCTCAAGAGGGACGTAAATTAACAAACAAACTAGTCTTATTGAACGTAAATGTTATGTAACAAGTAAATACAAAATAATAGCAAAATTAACAGATTTTTTTTTTAAATATGTAGATATTTTTATATAAAATTACCAGACTCAAGCCATGATTTTGCATTTTCTAATGTAAACCCGCACGCAATTTTCCTCCATGCAAAATCGATCGCCGTTTCCAAGCAAACATTACTAAAAATCAAAAGACATTTTTATAAATAAAACTTCTTTACTTGACACTCTGTAAGAATGGATTAAATGTGTCAGAAGTGTGTTAAAACCGTGCATTAAGCGATTGAAAACCATCTATCTTTCTGTATTCAATAATCCTGAAGTGTAAAAGAATTAGATACTATTATAATACATGGTCAGTATGTACAATTGTACTGGTCCCTTAGGACAAAGCAGATAACAACATTGTCTTTGTAAGGTACATAATATAAAATTATTTTAGAAAAACTTGGATTTAATTCTTCTAGTCGAGAGTGTATCTATGTATATAAAGGAATTTATGTGATCTAAATGCGAACTAAATTGCATATTTTTATTAATTATCATTGAATTCTGTGTGAATTCATGTGTCCCGAAGGGATTTTCCGGGTTTTATATTTAAGGTAGAACCTATGTTGGAAAAGTCTCAAACTTTTCAAAATGATAAATTGGTATTTGCTTATCAATCAGTTAAAATATCATGATATGTTTTCTTGTTTTTAAATCTAGTATAGCCTGTGAAACATGGTATGGTAATCACATACTGCGACTTCACATTTTAGGGGTACTTATCAAGAAGAGAAAAAGAAAGATCACAAAAATAACTCCTCAAACATCATCGTTTATAGACTTTACTAACTGAACAATATTAAACAATATTTCTCAACAATAATTATATTTTTATTCAATTGACATAAAAGATAAGTCCACATTTAAAGAAAAATAGGCAAATGAAGTCTATTTTTTAAAGTCAATTTTACAACCTACATTTGTAAATATTTTTTCGAAGTCTTGTCAATGTTTTCAATCTTTAATATGATGAAGAACATAGTTACCCAAATGATTACAAAAAGTGATTAAAATACGAGGGTTGATCCAAAAGTAATGTCACTGTGTCCATATATTTATATTTGGCGTCACTTTATCAAATATAATGCACCAAAAGATGCAGAAAAAGAAATCTAATCAAAATTGAAAGTTTTATTTGATAATGTTAAATGGAATTCATTTTATAGACGTTTAAAACATTAAACATAGGGGGTGTCGCCGCGTCAAACTAAACGTCACGTTTTAAAGTGTATATTGTTGAATAAAAAAGACAAACACGTTTAAAAAAAAAAGCATAAAAAAGCGTCTAATCGCACAATATTTTAAAAAAGACAAAATTGACGACAATTTCTAGTCTTTATTTTAGGAATAACTGTCTTATTTTTCGAATTCATGAAGTGATCAATGGATTGGCTTGTGTGATAATTTGCATAAATGCCGAAGGCGTTTATGCATAAAATTATCACACAAGCCAATCCATTGATCATCTTCATGAATTCGAAAAATCTGACAGTTATTCCTTATATTTACATGCTTTGATTCCACAAATCCACGGGGTCCAAGCCTGCTTCCCTCTAGGTGTTGTCCCGCCCTGCACGTGGTTTTTTTGGTACCGCGCCAAGACATTCATGAGGAAAAAATTACATTTTCTATTGGTAATTTTATCTCGGACAAAGACATTTGAAATGTAAATATTTGAAAATAAAATGGCGACATTGTTTTTTTTTTATCATAAACATTGTTGTTTATATCTGATGTATTGAAAAAAGGAAATGTCGAAATGGAATAAAACGCCTGAGTTTTAACGCTTTTTCCTATAAAATCAGGAAATCGCCAGTAGAGACAGTTACAAAGGTAAATCAGACACGCAGAGGAAATAATGTGAAAACGAGACTTGTTCATAGATGGTTTCAAACATTTTGGGCGGGTCGTGGGTAAAAAACTGATCAGCTGAGGACAGAAAGACCGAAAGATATGAGGTCGGATGGAAACGTCCAATGACGTCGATGGTGTCAAAAAAAAGAGATTCGTGTAACGCGGTTTGAGTGATACATTGTAAGAGAAACTTTTAAGTTTGACTTATGGTACTATTCAAAGATTTTTTATGAAGGACTATATTACTGATAGAGTGTACAATAAGTGACAATAATTCTTAAATAAAGTAAAATGTGTGAATGTGTTTTTGAATATCAATTATTTTAATGAAACGAGAGGGAAGAGTTTTTGAAATTGTGTCATGGCGCATATCCGTCACATGACGTTATTGGGGTGCGGCGACTACCATAATTGCATTTTGTATATAATTCGATATTTTGAAAAGTATAAATCATTTCAATTTGAATTTTTCAGGACTGATTTGAAATATACGTAGCTACCATCATGTATAATTTTGTTAACTTACGTTGACTAGTAGTAATTTTATAGAAGTTGTGACATTACTTTTGGATCAACCCTCGTATATACCTTTCCCCTCTAACGAATGAGAGATAGGGTATTTACGGATGCTAATATTCTTGACCTTTTTACAGATCTGATGTAGATCAGGGCTTTTAAAACATTCTGTCAAACTCATACTTTTTTCATTGGAATACCTTAAATAACTCATAAACTAACTAAAACGCCGATAAAAGACATACCTTTGTATGCTTTTTTCATACAACATGACTCAGAGTGCATAGACCTTCAATTAAGATATAATTAACAAGTTTATAAACTTCCATGGGAATTGAAGTGGGTCGGTCACGTGATCAAATCCTGTGAAGGCCGAAGGCCTTCTCAGAAGATTTGATCACGTACCGAGCCACTTCAATTCCCATTGAAGTTTATAAACTTGTTATTTTATACTTATATATACATTTGAGACAGACAATTGAATATTTTCGAATTTAATTATTGCACTAACTGTCCGTCGTAGATTTTGAAAAATGACGCAAGGGTGTAAATCGGCTTGCATGGCGGCTACGCTTCGAATTTACTTGGCTAAGGAATCTATTTTGCAGGAAATATTTTGTGAAGGACTACTTGTGATCAGTGATAGTGAACAGATTGTTGTCTGGGAATATTTTTATTTGTGAAAATTGATAATCGGTGCTGAAAAGACACAGGAAAAACGTCCGAAGTTTGATGATAAAAAGTTGGAGGAATTTCGGTCGCCGGAAAGGGATGGATGGATCCGATGGATTGAGACACTTTTCCGTGCCAGTTAATTTGCAATTTCATTAAAAAAAAAACATTCTACGATTTCAGTAACTAAAGGCATACTTTAACTTATCGTAAAACACTGATAAACACGGAGACACTGGCGACAGCTTTACATTGAAATACGAAAACGCCGAGGAGTTTGGCAGCTGTTTATGGCATTATGCAATAATACATTTTCCAACAGATTTGCACATGCACATTTATCGTGAGTAGAATTTAAAGATAATTTATAGTTTATCATGAAAATTTAATGAAAGGTTCTACCCAAAAAATAAGGATGAACGTTAGAGACTGTGCAGCTGATCTGACAAAAGTGAGAAAAAATGTAAACAAACGCTACGGGGTTTTCTCTATGTACGCAGGTTGAATCGATAGCCAACAAACTGCATGTATGAAATACTTGTTTACAATGTAAATAATATAATTATCATATTACTTGCTTATTTTGTTCATTTTTTATACATGAAAAGCAAGTAGAGCAGGTCATTTTATAATTTATGTACCGGTAGATATTATTGCGCCGTGTGATAAGGTCACGTATTGACCTCTGACCTCTGACAAACTTCATACAGAATTGAAGATATTTTCTCTCTGTATGTTTATATAATGGAAAGATACCACAAATGTATATATTATTAAATATCAGATATTTAACAGTTAACTATCATATATTATAGTTCAAGGGCTGTTCAATAAATAATGTCCTGAACTCTATGACATACAACACAGATATCTTATGACATAATGGTTGATTTTCTCTCATGATTTAATCTTTAATAAATGTATTTGAGATAATGTGACCACTTTTCATCTCATAAATTGTGAAAAGCTGTCAATCAAGGGTATTCGAGACACTGCATTAAAAATGAACGGTAAAGAATCAATAAAGCAGAGTAAAATTGAATGCTTATATAGCTGCTTAAGAACTTTATAAGAATCACAAAGATATATGCATTGCCATTTGTGAAATGCCTGTTTCATAGACACATGTGCAGATGAATTTCAATGAACAATAATAATATAATGGGTATCAAAAATGGGTACCGTCCTTGGCAACAAGGACTTACAACAACCTATGTTCCATTTGCTAAAATTCAAAATTAATAACCTATGATGTTTGATTGACTTTAAAACACTTTACAAATTTAAAAGGCATCAATTTGGGGATAGTTCACACCATTGTAAAGAAATACTTGACAGTAAAAAAGCTAAGTACTCAATGGTCATCCTATGTTTTGAAAAATGAGTGAAAACGACATCGTGTGAGAATATCTTAACAATTATGTTTAAAAATCAAAAATTGTACTTATCCATGTTTGTCTGAAATGCAAACAGATAATGAAACATGTATACATTACTTTATTACCCTCAAAACATTATTACAGTAAGATGCAATTGAAAAAAGTAGCAAATGTCTGAAAAGAGCAAAGCATTACCAGAGCACAAAGACAGTTTAATATGCCATTTTATCAAATATTAGTGGTCTTGTTGTTCAAATATCCGGTGTAGCTTTATATTTTGAACCCTGGTTCAATATATTGAATATTATTATACTTCCTGTCAGTTTGTCTCTATACAGCTCATACCCTACTATTCTCGCATGGTGTTCTAAGGATTTATATAGCGTAAGCATAATATGCCGAAATAGTGCACGGCGTCCATTTTTGAAGAAAATCCGACAACGCCAATACCGGGGACCGAACTCACGACCCCGAGATTACCTGTCTGACGCGTTACCGATTGTGCCAAAGACACCGTTATCTAAAGTATTGTACTATGATATATACTTAGTTTCAAATATTTTACACCTAAGATTTCAAATAAACAAAATAATTCTTCTAAAATAGTTTCTTGCAACCCCCCTTCCTTCACTCAAATATTATTCCCTTAATTAAACTATCTGTAGATTTACGTATAGCATGGTTCAAAATTAAAGAAAAAGATTATGACGTA